GGGCGCTATATAGTGGGAAAATGGCGAAAAAGCGAAGTGAAACGGTCAAAAACCTGCAAAAAGCCTTTGTTCTACACGACTCAGAAAGCAATTTCGGACGAGTTTCCCGTTGGCATCGTGCCAATAACCACTGGTACGGGTGCATGGGTGTACTTATGTATCCATGCAGCACCGCAGCCGCTTCATATCAGCCCCTTCGCTTCATATTGTAATGCGCAAATGAAGCGATACGAGCATCAGTATCGGTCGGACGTTGTGAGGCGCCGGTTAAGGGGCGCCGATGGTCTTGCTAGGCGTATTAATCCTACACGTCTTGGGGATTTATCGCGTCCTTGCCTTAAATCATTAGCGGGCGCCCTTTTAAAATTTGGAGTTTTAAAATTGGCTCCAAATTCCAGCGTGTGGTGCCAGCACCACACTCGCCCGCTTCACCCTAAAGGTGCAGTATCTGCGCAGATATCAAGGTCAATACACAAATGGTAGAGGACAGGAAGAAGAGAGAGGGCGCAGACAAGTAGCGCGTTTGCACTCAATGAGACGCGTGGCTGGCCGCGCGGCAGCGAGAGGCGGAATATGGAGTCGGCACCGCGGATTTGTTTCAGTGCAGTTTTGAGCGGAGAAAGTGGCATGCTAATGCAGCTGCGGACCTATGCTCCCCACATACGGCAAAGACAAGGAGCCAGGTGAATGTACAGATTGGCTTTGAAGAAACGTTAGTATATCCCTCAGAACTATGCGACTGCGACCGCTTTACCGCTAATCGATGAACCACTACAGACGGTCACAAGACCAGTCCTGAATATGAAGATTGGCAGAAGCAGCGGTCCACTGACTACTGGTAGAGCACAAATGGTAACGCGCACAGATGAATCTTCCGAATCGCAAAGAACGATGAAAAAAAAACCCAATAAAACCACAGCATCTCGTTAATAAAGCAGACTAGCCTACTACCTATCTGTTAACGTACCAGAAGTAGGAGCCGCCGGAGCAATTCTCGCTTGTGCAGGTTCTGTGGATCCGTTTGACTGCTGTGCTTCTTCTTCTTCTTCTCTGTACGATCTGGAGAAAAAGCAATTAAACACAGACATTCTCGAAACACAACACAGAGGAAACTCACTGTTGATTACTAAAATAGATTTTTGGCCTGACACTCGGATATTCCATACGGAAAAATGATTTCTAGAAATAGTAAAATTCAATTTGATTGGTGCCCAACGCTCATTCTAATGTTGGCTCTATTTTCGAGCAAAATACTAAGACGTTAAAGCGTTACTGATGAAACCTGTTCCATTGATGGACGCAGAGCAGTTGCCGACGGCTTTGCAAGCATTGCCGGTGGTGGTATAAATCCAGGCGGCTTCGCTGCAGACAGTTTCGCAGGCATTGCCGGTGGTGGTATAAATCCAGGAGGAAAATGTTTGGCACTAGTTGGATGTGGTCCATTTTTGGGAGGTGTGGGCGATACAGGTGGTGCAGTACCAAGTAGACCACGCTTCACTAAATTTCAGCGAATTTGCGAGTTTATGCAAAGTAATCACCATAAAACGGCAAAATTCCTGGAATAAGTACCTGGTCTCTCAATTTCCATTCCTGCTGGTCTTTTGAGTGCAGGCGGCCTATTAACCAGTTGGACTACCTAAACAACAAGCGGTCGTTGTGGTTTTTTTCAAATAAAATTTTACCACCGCATCAAGGACTCTTACCTCTTCCCATTCCTCACTATCACTGAGATCCTCAATGAACTGGTTAGGATCGACCATGGCATGTGTTCTTGATGTTTTCCCATTGACCTGCGCACCAACGTAATTCAGTTTAATGCATTACTCGAAAGAGAGATTTGGCAGGCCGGAATCGTAGCAATCGTAACCCAAGTTGCGACTGGAGCGCGGGGGTTGCTTACAAGAGTGGAGTCTTACAAGCTGTTGTTCTTGAGGGGGAAGAATTGTTGTGACTCTTAGAATGAGCAGGAACTTTGTTACTTGAGTTGTGGATGTTTTGAACATTTCAGAACTGATATTTATCACCCAGAAGAGGTGGAACTGGCTTCTGTTCTAGGCGGTGTTTTAGACTGATTTTCATCGTCCACCATGAATGAAAACTCTCGCATGCTGTGCTGTGAAAACTTTGTCTATCCTGGAAGTGTTACATAAACAGTTAATGAACTCGGTAACATGAACATGGCCAACATTAACTTGACAAAAATATTATACAGCTTGATAACATTTGCAAAGGATTTACTTGTAATTAGTTTGGTTTCTTCGAACAAACATATTCCTGAATCATTTGTTCCGAAAATCAGTAGTAGTCACACTGGGAATAACAAACAATGCAAAAGACCTAATAAGAAATATCAACACACTTCAAGAGGGAAGGGGAACGAAGAAGTAGTGAACAATTCGTATACACTGAAAAAGGAAATGTTTTCACGGAACGGTTGCAACTAGAAAAACATGCGAAAGGGATCCTGCTTGGGAACACAGTCGCTTAGTTGTATAGTTCCAAAACCACAGAAAGAGCTGCTACTTTTAATACAGCAGTATCCAGATGACAACAGGTGTTGTAAAAGGTACGCTTCAAACATTTCACGATCACTGTCACTTCGCCTGGTCTCTCAGAATCAATAATCACGAATAGCTACTTACGCCAACCTCAAAATATTTCCTATATTTTTACGTTGCATAGAGCTTGTTATACTATTCACATCATTCCTTCTACCTAGTTGTTTCTTGTTGTTTTCGTTTTCGCCTTTCATATTGTTTGTCAGTTTCCTTGTGGATGGATGGACAGAAGCTGATCTTCTGACTATTTGTGAGTTCGAGTATGTGTATCACCGCACAATGTACGAGGTTTCATTCATACAAGATGATGAAAATCAGTTCTAGAATAGCTAAGGTGCTCAGAATACAAGTTACAAGAGTTCCACCTCATTCTGGATGATAAATATCAGTTCTGAAATGTTCGAAACCTTCACAACTCAAGGAACAAAGTACCTGCTCATTCAAAGAGTCACACCAACAATTCTTCCTCCTCAAGACCAACAGCTTGTAAGGCTCCACTCTCGTGCTCCAATGCAACCCTGCGCTCCAATCGCAACTTGGGTTACGGTTGCTTTTTGTCCCCGGCCTGCCAAGGGGGACAAAAAGCCTCCGTAAAGTAGCCTCCAATCTCTCTTGTTTACTCGAAAAGAAATGCAATATCAAACACACACCTGTTGTGGATAATCAAATGCATCCCTATCCCTATGCGAAGACAGTTTTGGTGGATCTTGAAAAAATTGGCGAGATGTTGCGCGTCTTCCTAAACACGTG